TTGATGATTCTCTGGATTTCTGCTGGATTTGTTGTGGTTTCACCTTTTTCATTCTTAGTTGCATGTTCCAGCTGTCCTCTCCCCTAAGCCAGTCCGGGTTTCTATGGGAAGTACTGATCCCACCAACTTACCATCCACAATGGTTCAGTGTACTTTTATTGAAAAGATTTTCTTCATTTACCCAGTGGGCTTCACTTTTCATTGAGGAGCTTCAGAGAGGCTCTCTCTGTTGTTCACTTCTGCCATATCTTCTGGGGGTCATAACTATGGCCTTTATGTTCCCCCTGGCACCTTTGCTGTGCAGATACATATACCACGTGGCCTTCAAGGTGGGGTCCAGAGGGGTGCAGCCCAGTCTGGTGGGGTACAGCCCAGTCTGATGGGACACAGCCTGCGCAGTGGGTCCAGAGAGGCTACTGGTGTCCTCAGGGATGAGGCCCCATGGGCCTGCTGCCATCCATGGGGCCAGGGTCTAGTGGGGCTGCTAGCATCCTCAGGGATGGGTTCCAGCATGGGCAGCAGCTGCTCTCAATATAGGTTTGGAAACATTAGCTATAGCAATTAGACAAGAGAAAGAAATAAAAAGAATAAAGGTAGGAAATAAAGAAGTTAAATTGGCACTACTAGCAGATGATATGATACTCTCTATGGAAGACACCAAGAACTCCACCAAAATTCTTCTAGACTTAATAGCCAAATTCAGTAGAGTACCTGGATACAAGGCCAACACACAAAAGTCGATAGCTTTCATGTACACACACAACAGACTCTGAAAAAGGAACTGGAGAAACAACTCCCTTCACAATACGGTCCAAAAAAATGAAATGCCTAGGAATCAATCTAACAAAAACAATCAAAGACCTCTACAATGAAAACTATAGCGCTCTGAAAAAAGAGGTCAAAGAGGATATCAGAAAATAGAAGCACATCCTGTTCTCCTGGGTAGGAAGAACCAACATAATGAACATGGCCATACTTCCAAAACCTCTATATAAATTCAATGCAATCCCAATTGAAATACCAGCAGCACATTTCACACACCTTTAGAAAACAATCCAAAAGTTCATTTGGGAAAAGAAGAGACCTAGAATAGCAAAAGCAATTCTAGCCAACAAAAACAAGGTAGGGAGTATCACAGTCCCCAACTTGAAACTATCTTACAAAGCCACTGTGATAAAAAACAGCATGGTACTGGCAAATAAACAGACCCTAACGTCAATGGAACATATTAGAAGATGCAGAAAGAACTGCATACTCAGCCACCACATCTTTCAAAAAGGAACCAAACACCATAACTGGAAGAAAGATAGCCTCTTTAATAAATGGTGCTAGAAAAATTGGGCTTCAACTTTACAAAGATTAAAACTAGACCTATATCTCTCACTACACAATAAACTAAAATCAAAATGGATTTAAGATCTAAATATTAAAACAGAAACACTAAACCGGCTGGAAGAGAAGTTAGGAAGAACTCTTGAAGACATTTGCATATGAAAAGATATCATGAACAAAACCTCAGTTGCACATAAACTAGCACAATCAACAAGTGGGATCTCTTCTTATTAAAAAGCTTGTGCACAGCAAAAGAAACCACCAACAAAGAGAAAATACAACCCACAAAGTGGAAAAATATTTTAGCAGCTCTTGCTCAAACAAAAGTCTACTATCTAGAATATATAAAGAACTTAAAAATATCAGACCTCCCAAATTTAAAGATCCCAATCAGAAATGGGCATCTGAAATGACCAGACATTTCTCAGACAAAAAAGTGGAAATAGAAAATAAATATATGAAAAAATGCTGAAAACCACTGGTCATTTGAGAGATGCAAATAAAAACAATGTTGAGATTTCACCTCACCCCAGAAACAATGACTGCTATCATGATATTAACTAATAACTGTGGGCAGGGCTTTTGGGAAAGAGGAACCCTTCTCCACTGTTGGTGGGAGTGCAGACTGGTACAACCACTGTGGAAATCAGTATGGAGTTACCTCAAAGAACTAAGATTAGAGGTCTCATTTGACCCAACTATTTCCTTCCTGGTTATCTTCCTAAATGAATTAAAAGGATCATACCACATAGATA